TTTTTTGGTTTTTTTCCAGTACTGGGAATCGAACTCACAACCTTGTGCTTGCCAGGCAGGCACTGTGCCGCTGAGCTAAATCCCCAGCCCCCAGTATTTGGTATTTTTCCAACACTGCATGTGTTAATATAAGAACTACAATAAAACAGAAGTGCTTTCCAATTAAAACTGATTTTATCTTTAGATGTAGAAAGAAAAAGCCAAATACAATATATATCTTTGAAATAGTACAGAAGCAGTAAAATGAGTGGATAACATAAACCTGTCAGGAATTAAAAGCATGTGAAGAAATACAATAGGGAAAGATAAACTGTTCCCTAGAAGTTTATTTCCGTAAGTGGACGTGAAAGGTAGTATGATTTTAAGTACTGTTCGTGTAAATTGTTTCTTTTCAGGTGCAGATAGCGTCAGTGTGTAATGATGAGCGGAGTGGCAGCTTAATCACCGCATCATTTTAACGGATGGCTTGTTTTACAACCATTGCCACAATCGATCTGTATTTGTTTGTGTTTTGTTTTTGGTGCTTGGGGTTGAACTGTGACCTTCTACACGCCACAGTCTAAATCCCCACAATGAACCCCTTGGTCCTGAGAAGTCACTCTGCACACCGCAAAACACATATCCATCCCCAGTCACTGACCTTCTTCCTGTCTCAATGTTTGCCTGTTCTGCACGTTTTATATGAACGCTATCACACGGTACCTGCCCTTATGGAACTGGCTTCTACTTAGCATAATATAGTCGAGGTTCATTGGTTATTCTGTTTCCACTCTTTGGCCATTTTGAGCAATGTTTCTAGGAACACTTCGTGTACAGATTTTGTGTGATGTGTGTTCTGTTTCTCTTGGGTTTACATCTAAGAGTGGAATTGCGGAGCCAGTGAATAACTGTGTTCAGCATTCTGAAGAACTGCTGCATTGTTTTCCAGAGTAGCTCTATCATTTTCACCCCCCACTAGCCATGTAAGCGCGGTTCAGTTCCTCCATTTCTTTGGCAGCACTTGTTACTGTCTATGGCATTGATTTATGTTTGTGATGCTGGAGATCAAACCCGGTGCCTTGTGCGCACAAAGCCTGCTCTCCTGGGAGCTGCACCCCCAAGCCCTTGCTGTGGTGTGGAATAGCGCCCTGCTAGCAGGTGTGATGTGTATCTTGTGGTTTTGATTTGCATTTCCCTAATGGCTAGTGATGCTGAGCACCTTTTCACATAACCGGTGGCCAGTTTTAGATCTTCTTTGGTCTATTCAAGTTTTTGTCCACTTCTAATTTGGGTTATCTTTTTATTATTGAGTTCTAAGAATTATTTATACTTTCTGGATACAGTTTTCTTACCATATATGCAATTTTCAAATCGTTTTTTCCTATTCTGTGGGTTTTTTCTTTTCTTTTCTTTTTTGTCTTTTTGAGAGAAGGTCTCACTATGCAGTTCAGGCTGGCCTTGAACTCACTTATGTAGACCAGGCTGGCCTCGAACTCACAATGATCCTCCTTCCCCAACCTCCTGAGCGTTAGGATTACAGGCGTGCACCACCATGCCCCGCTGTGGGGGTTTTTCTTCACTTTTTGCTTTGTTTTGTATTGTTTTGTTTCGTTTTGTTGAGACGGGGTCTC